AACTCCTGAGCTTTTTAATTCAGTCCCTGTTCCTTGGTCCCAGGGCTTAGGTTCCCCCTGTGGTTGTACGTTTGGTTCATCTGGGCATGTTTAGGTTATGTGACCTTCAACCTGGGAATCCATGGTAACAGAAAACAATTCACAACTTCATTGCATAAAAGTTAAGCCACATCCCTCTAGTGCCGCTACAGGAATATCTACCTTAGTGTAGTTAAAAGGATTAAGAGATATGATGCAAATAAAGTGCTTAGAACAGTGCTGGCATATAAATACTCAACAAATATTAGCTAATATTCATTCCAAGCTTCAAAGGAGGCTGGAAATAAAAAGTTTCAGCAGATGTTAACAGGAACAGGGAATTTTTCCTAACAGCACATTTATTAATAATAATTGGAAGAGGCTGAGCACAGTGGCTCACACCTGTAATCCCAGCACTTTGGGAGGCCAACGCAGGCGGATCACCAGGTTGAAGGTTGCGGTGAGCTGAGATCACACCATTGCACTCCAGTCTGGGCAACAGAGTGAGATTTCCTCTAAAAAAAAAAAAAATTATAATAATTGGAAGAGTAAAAATGCTAGATAGCTGACTTTTTTTCCTTGGTTTCTTTCACCAACTTTTCTATTTCCAAATAGTCCTTATTTTTAATGAAATTATTCTGAGAGTAAGTGGTCTGTTTCTTTTCTCTGTCCTTACCTGGCCATGTTGGGCCCCCTCATTCCACTTATTCCTTCCCCCTTCTTTTTCCTTCTTTTCTCCCCACTCCTTCCTATCTCCTTCTTCCATATTTTTTGTGTCAAGTTTCTTCAGATATAATGTACATGAAGTAAAATTCATCCTTTTAAATAAACAGTTTTATGAGTTTTGATTAACATATGCAGTTTTGATAAACACATCTGCTCCACAATAAAGATATAGAACAGCCTCTATCACCCCAAAAGGTTCCCAACTCTTTTTTCTCCACTTTTAAGAATTTCTTTTTATCACTAGTTTTCAATAACTGATTTTACATGCATTGGCGTACTTTTCTTTATGTTTTTTTCCACTTGGAAATCTTTCAGGTTCTTGGATCTGTGTTTATACTTTTCATCAAAATTGGAAAAATTTTAGCCATTATTTCTTAAAATATTTTTGTGGTCTCTTCCCTTTCTCTCTTCTACGTTTTTGGGACTTTTGGATTACCTGTATTTTAGACCACTTGATATCACCCCATAAATGACTGACACTCTTTCATCTTTTCCTCCTCTTTTCCTCTCTGTGCTTCATTTTAGATCTCTTCTATTACTATGCCTTGAAGTTTTTAATCTTTTATTTGGTAGTGTCTAATCTTCTGTTAATCCCAGCTAGTGTATCTTTCTTTTCAGATCTTACATATTTTCATCTCTAGAAATTCCATTTGGGTCTTTTATTATATCTTCCATTTCTTTCCTCACTATACTGATTATGTTGATGGTTTCCTCTATGTCATTTTGTTATAAGAAGCCTATTTGTGTCCAGGCACGGTGGCTCACGCCTATAATCCCAGGACTTTGGGAGGCCAAGGTGGGTGAATCACCTGAGGTCCAGAGTTCGAGACCAGCCTGGTCAACATGGTGAAACACTGTCTCTGCTAAAAATACAGAAATTAGCTGGGTGTGGTTGTGTGTGCCTATAATCCCAGCTACTTGGGAGGCTGAGGCAGGAGAATCAGTTGAACCCAGAAGGTGGAGGCTGCAGCGAGCTGAGATCACACCACTGCACTCCAGCCTTGGAGATAGAGTGAGACTCCATCTTAAAAAAAAAAAAAAGAAGAAGCTTATTTGTAAGAGCTGCATTAACACCCTTGTCTGCTAATTTCATCATTTCTATGATTTCTGAGTCTATTTTTATGAATTGATAGTTCTTCTGGTTGTGGGTCTTATTTTTCTGCTTCTTTTCATGTCTGATGATTTTTTATAGGATGCTAAGTGCTTTTTGTTGGGTTTTTTGGAGGCAAGTCTCACTCTGTAGCCCAGGCTGGAATGCACTGGCACTATCTCAGCTCAGCAAAACCTCTGCCTCCTGGGTTCAAGCGATTCTCCTGCCTCAGCCTCCCGAGTAGCTGAGATTACAGGTATATGCCACCACACCCAGGTATTTCTTTTGTATTTTTAGTAGAGAGGAGGTTTCACTGTGTTGGCCAGGCTGGTCTCAAACTTCTGGCCTAAATGATCCGCCTGCCTCAGCTTCCCAAAGTGCTGGAATTACAGGCTTAAGCCATCATACCTGGCCAAGAATGCTAATTGTTTGAGTCAGCTCAGGCTGCAGTATAACAAAACGTGATGTTCCATATTGCTTAAACAACAGAAATTTATTTCTCACCATTTTAGAGGCTGGGAAGTCTACAGTCAGGGTGCCAGAATGGTTAGGTTCTGGTGAGGGCCTTCTTCCTTTCTTGCAAGTGGCTGCTTTTTGGTTGTATTCTCACATGGTGTGGGGGCAGAGAGAGAGAGAGAGATCTCATGCCTCTTCCTGTAAGGGCATGAATCCTGTCATGAGCTCTCAACCCTCGCGACTCAATTACCCTCCAAAGGACACCATCTCCAGTTACCATCACGTTGGTTTCAACATATGAATCTCAGGGGAAACAGTTCATATAACAGCACTGGACATTGTAAATTTTGTTATTGGTTGCTGGATTTTAGTATATCCCTTTAAAGAGTATTGAACTTTGTTTTGGGACACTGTTAAGTTACATGGGGATCATTTTAGCCTTGCTTTTAAACTTTTCAGAGGCAGTTTCAGAATTGCCTTTAGTCTAGGGCTAATTTAGCCTGATGACTGAGATGAGTCTTCTTATGAGGACTCTGCTTGATGTCCGATACATAAAGAAGTGTCTCCATTTTAACTGTTGGAATCAGAAATAATTTCTGACCTTATATGAATTCTTTAGCCTACTGCTTTCTAGCAGCTTCCCCCCGGCCTTGGGTACTTTTTTCTCACATATGTGTAAATCAGTACCCAGCTGAAGATTCAAGAGAACCTTGGAGATCTCTGAAGTTGAGAAGCCTGAGTTCCTCTTCAGTGCTCTTCCCTGTAAATTCTGGCCATTCTGCTTGTTTCCCTTCTATGAGCTGTGTTGTGAAAACTGTCTCCATACAGGAAGGGGTGATCATAAAGCTCATCTTACTTGTTTCCTATCTCTCAGGAATCATAACCTTCATTGTCTATTGTCCAATATATGGAAAGCATTGTCTCATATAATTTTGCCTGTTTTCCTAATTGTTTAAGGGAGAGTAAATCTGGTCTGTATTACTCTATCATTACGGGCACAGGAGTCTTTGCCCAGCACTTTTGAGAAAAAATTTATACATCTGGAAGATCTGAAAGTCTGAACAATACTGCTATAGACCTTTTAACTCTCTTCAAAACCATCCTGGAAAAAAAGCCTTTATAGTGTAGGATTTGAACAATCTAGACCAAAATTGCACAATTCCCCCTCCTTGAAATTAAGGACCAAGAAGGGTGGGGAAAGGAGAGAGAAAAGGAGAAAGGAAATATGAAGGTGTTCTCTCCTTGATGTGGTTTGAATGTGTGTGTCTCCCCCGAATTCATATATTGGAACCTAAGACCTGATGTGATAGTATTAAGAGTTAGGGGGCTCTAGGGTAATTAAGTCATGAGGGATCTACCTTCATGAATGGGGTTAGTGCCCTTATAAAAGGGCTTGTGGGAACTAGCGAGGCCCTTTCAGACCTTCCATCTCTTCTGTCATGTGAGGACATGGTATTCATTCTTTTTTGTCCCCTTCTACCACGTGAAGATGCAGCAAGGAGATACCATCATGAGGCTGGGTGTGGTGGCTCACACCAGTAATCACAGCACTTTGGGAGGTTGAGATGGGTGGATCACTTGAGGCCAGGAGTTCGAGACTAGCCTGGCCAACATGGTAAAGCCCCATCTCTACTGAAAATACAAAAATTAGCTGAGAGTGGTGGCGTATGCCTGTAATCCTAGCTACATGGGAGGCTAAGTCATAAGAATCACTTGAACCTGGGGGGCAAAGGTTGCAGTGAGCTGAGATTGTACCACTGCTCTCCAGCCTGGGGAATACAGCGAGACTCATCTCAAACAACAAAGAAGGTGTCATCTTGAGAGCAGAGAGCAGCCCTTACCAGACACCAAATCTGCTAGTATCTGTATCTTGATCTTGGGCTTCCTAGCCTCCAGAACTGTGAAAAAATAAATTTATCTTCTTTATAAATTACCCAGTCTCAGCTATTTTGCTATAGTAGCACAAATGAACTCAGATACTCCCCAGCACTGAGAAATGCATTCTGCCTGACTAGGAAGCAGCAGAGTTGTTGACATGCAGGTACAGGTGCGAAATGTCTGGGTCCAAGTCCTAGCTCTGCCATTTACAGGCTTTCTTTGGGCTGGTTACTTTACCATACTGTGTAATATTAGGCACCCTCTAGGGTTGTTACGAGAGTTAAAGAAATTAATGGTTTTTTTGTTTTTGTTTCTGAGATGAAGTCCTGCTCTGGAGTGCAGTGATGTGATCTTGGGCTCACTGCAACCTCTGCCTCCTGGGTTCAAGCAATTTTCCTGCATTAGACTCCTGAGTAGCTGGGGTTATAGGCACACACCACCATGCCCAGCTAATTTTTTTACATTTTCAGTAGAGATGGTTTCGCCATGTTGGCCAGGCTGCTCTTTAACTCCTGACCTCAGGTGATCCACCTGCCTCAGCCTCCCAAAGTGCCAGGATTACAAACATGAGCCACCATGCCTGGCCAATAAATTAATGTTTGTAAAATCCTGAGGACTGTGAATGGTACATAGCAAGCACTATGTAAGTGCTTGACTAGAAGTATGCATAATTTTTTTTCATTAAAGAAGTAATACACATTTAGTGTAGATGTAGAAGTTCACTGGGGTAGAGAAGTGTGGCCTGCTAAGGCTGTCTGTCTTCCAAGACACCTCTTAGATTGGATTTCCTTATTACAGAGTATTTGCTCAAGCCTAGCTCTCAATCTTGCAGGTATGGGAGAAACAAAGCTTGCCATGGCGACTGGATCAGATCTCTCCAAGACAACTTCCATCTCTAAAGTAGCAACCACTGGGAGGCCCCAGCATGACTGTATATTCAGCAGTGCTCTCTGTCCTGTGAAGAATTTACACCTTCTTTATTGGGCCAAAATAACTAACAAAACTGGTCATCTCTGCTTTTTACAACTCAAGTGGCCAGGTAAAATTTTCTTGAACAAGCATGTTTTGTAACTTAACTAAACGGTTATGAGTTTTATGGTTTAAAGATTGTATTTACAATCTGTGTAGTCCCATACTTGTATCTCTCAGAAAGCCACATGTCTTCTTGCTGAACATGAGGAAAGAATGAGCGACTGTAATAATCAGGAAAAATATATGTATATATTACTTCTTACTTTTAAAAAATTACGGCCGGGCGCAGTGGCTCAAGCCTGTAATCCCAGCACTTTGGGAGGCCGAGGCGGGTGGATCACGAGGTCAACAGATTGAGACCATCCTGGTCAACATGGTGAAACCCCGTCTCTACTAAAAATTACAAAAAATTAGCTGGGCACGGTGGCGCATGCCTGTAATCCCAGCTACTCAGGAGGCTGAGGCAGGAGAATTGCCTGAACCCAGGGGGCGGAGGTTGCGGTGAGCCGAGATCGCACCATTGCACTCCAGCCTGGGTAACAAGAGCAAAACTCCGTCTCAAAAAAAAAAACAAAAAAAAAAACTTATGATAAAATACACATAACATAAAACTTAACCATCTTAACAATTTTCAAGTGTAAAGTTCAGTGGTATTAAGTGCATTCATATCAAAAGTCTTGTTTAGTCTTGTAAAACTGAAACTCTGTACATATTTAATAATATCTCCCCATTCTTCCCTCCACCCAGCCCCCAGCATCCCCCATTGTACTTTCTGTCTCTGTGAATTTGGCTAATCTAGGTACCTCATATAAGTGGAATCATAAGGTATTTGCCTTTTTGTAACTGGCTTATTTCACTTAGCATCATGTCCGCAAGGTTCACTCATGTTGTACGGTGGGTCAGAATTTGCTTCCTTTTTAAGACTAAAGAATGTTCCATTGTGTGCAGGTATCACACTCTGTTTATTCATTCCCTCGTTCATTCACTCGTCAATGGATACTTGAGTTGCTTTCATCTTTGGCAGCTATGAATAATGTTGTTGTGAACTTTGGTATACACATCTCTCTCTAAAACTCTGCTTTCAATTCTTTTAAATATATACCCAGAAGGGGAATTGCTGCATTATATGGTAATTTTATTTTTTAATTGTTTTGAGAACTGCCATTCTATTTTCCATAGTGGCTGCATCATTTTACTTCCCAACAACAATGCCCAAGGGATCCAGTTTCTCTACATCCTATATGACACTTGCTATTTTTGATTTATTCATAGTAGCTATCCTCACAAGTGTGAGGTGATATCTCATTATGGCTTGATATGCATTCCCTAATGATTCCTCTCTTTTTAAAAGAACAATTAAGAAATGGCTTACATACAGATGTAAGATAAAGTGCCATATCTTACCAGCACAGCAGAATGGAATAGTACACATGCTTATACCTGTGAACCCACCACCGGATTAAAATATAGAACATCCCTCCAAAAAAAATAAAATTAAAAATAAAATGTAAAAAATATATATAGAACATCCCGAGCACCCCAGAAGCCTCCCTCCCTCCTTCTCTCAGTCAGTAAGCTCTAAGATAACCACTCTTCTGGGCATGTATAGTTTTCATCTACCCTGTAGCTCTTGTCCCACCAGACCAGTTTCCAACAATGCCCTTGGCATGTTGTTCTATTATACTCACAGCAATATCAACATTCTACATAACCTTCTCTTCCTTATCTTGCTGAGAGTGCAATATTTAAAATTCTCCAGGTACTTATATCCTCCAAATTGTTCCCCTTCTCTTTACAAGTCTTCTTATCAAATTCAATTGTGACTTCACACTTCTGTAACCAAGATTTGTTTGATTCTACACAGGCTTAGCAGCTGATGTCTTCCCTCAGAAGTGGAATTACATTTACCAAGCTCATGAGACTGAGATGGAAAATTGGAATGTCAATGTATTCACTGATAACATGAAATATAATTGTTAAGCAGACTGGCATCTACTCAGCACAACCAGCACATTCTTTCCTGAAGGCAGATCCAAGTGAAAAGTCAAATTACACAGAGGGTGGCTTGGTGAGCATTTAATCATTCAACATGATCTGCTAAAAGACAATTGCATGTCAAGCACTGTGCTGGACACTAGGTGGAGAATACTGAATAAGGAAGACAGGACTCTGTACTTGTAGATTCCAAAGTGTAGGAAAAAGACAAGCTTGAATGTATCATCAGATTTGTAGGTTGGAGAAAAAAAAAGACTGCATATCTTAGGCTCTGCTTTCTCCCTGGATCCACTAAAATAACAGTACAGGCTTTTGTTTTGTTTTGTTTTTGTTTTAATGCAGTCTTACTCTGTCTCCCAGGCTGGAGTGCAGTGGCGCAATCTCAGTTCACTGCTACCTCTGCCTCCTGGGTCAAGCAATTCTCCTGCCTCAGCCTCTCTAGTAGCTGGGATTACAGGTGCCTGCCGCCATGCCTAGCTAATTTTTTGTACTTTTAGTAGAGACGAGGTTTCACAATCTTGGCCAGGCTGGTATTGAACTCCTGACCTCATGATCCACCTGCCTTGGCCTCCCAAAGTGCTGGGATTACAGGAGTGAGCCACCGTGCCTGGCTGGGGATTTTTTTTTTTAAGACAGTGCATTCGGGTGGGGCTCAGCAAACTATGGTCTGCAGGCCAGATCCAGCCTGTTGCTTGTTTATATACAGTCTGCAAGCTAAGAATATTGTTCACTATTGTCTGTGGCTGTTTTCATACTACAATGACACAGTTGAGTGGATGCAATGGAGACCATACAGCATGCAAAGCCAAGAATGTTTACTATCTGCCTTTTACTGAGAAAATGTGCCAAGCCCAGTGCTGAACAGCACTGTTCAATAGAATTTTCTGCAAAGATTTAAATGTTCTGCACCGCCTGATGCAGTAGCCAACCATTAGCTTTGTGTGGCTATAGAGCACTTGAAACGTGGCTAGTGCAGTTGACAAACTGAAAGTTTATTTCATTTCAATTAAATTTAATTAATTAACTTAGTTATTTATTTCTGAGACTAACTCTTGCTCCGTTGCCCAGGCTGAAGTGCAGTGGCACGATCTCAGCTCACTGCAACCTTCGCCTTCTGAGCTCAAGCAGTCCCTCTGCCTCAGCCTCCCGAGTAGCTGGCATCATAGACACTCACCACCAAGCCTAGCTAATTTTTGTATTTTTAGTAGAGATGGGGTTTTTACCATATTGGCCAGGCTGGTCTTGAACTCCTGACTTCAAGTGATCCACCTGCCTTGGGCTCCCAAAGTAATGGGAACACAGGTGTGAGCCATTGCACCCAGCCTATTTTAGTTAAATTTAAATAGCCACATGTGACCAGAGGCTACTCTATTAGATAGCACAGCTGTAGAGGGCAAGAGAAAGGGTGTCTGGCTTGAGTGACACCAAGCTTAGTGAAGATAGGGGCTTCGGACTGAAAACAGAAGGATGAAGAGAAAGTTCACATCAGGAAGGTTGAGATGACCTGCTCAGTGGCTTCTTGGGCTTCTTTTCCAGCCTAGACTCCAGAATGCTGACTCTGAACAAATAATGCTGACCCTAAACAAATAATGAGACTTACAGGTTAAAAAAAAAAGACTATTAGCAGGTATGGTGGCATGTGCCTGTAGTCCCAACTACTCAGGAGGCTGAGGTGGGAGGATTGCCTGAGTCTGGGAGATCAAGGCTGGGTGAGCCGTGATCACTGCACTCCAGCCTGTGTGACAGAGTGAGACCATGTCTAAAAAAAGAAAGGAAAGAAAGAAAGAAAGAAAACTGCACAGAACTATACTCCCTAAGGGATGATTATCCTCTCCCAAAAAGAAGCTAGAAGAGTCTTTTCTAGAGAATTTAAGCAATTCAGAAGGAAACACCTAAAGATTTTGATATTGAGGCTCCCTAATGGATAGTCACATCAAAGCTCATAGTTAATAAGCCCTCCTCACATGTAGCTTCCAATAAGTTTTAGTCTAAGTCTCATCCTTCGATATAAGCAAAAAGTCAAGGATCATCATAGGTGTTTTATTATTTTGTTACTTAGGTTAATACAATGTAAAGATTAGTAGATTTGAGGAAAGCCTGCAATAAATAAGAAAGAGATCAAACAGATAAAAACAGGCAAAGATACATGGAAACCTATTTTATTAAATTAGGAGATCCATGATGTTGAATTATGAGAAAAATTGTCTTTATTTTCGCAAAGTTCAACTTAAACTTAGCACTTCCTTCAATTATGAACACAATAGACCATAGTAGTATTAGTATTCCTGTGACTTCATCACCAACAGAAATCAGATATTTTCCTATCACATTGCTATTGCTGAAATTATTTTAAAATATCACTTAATGTTCATCACAACTTTGAAATTATGGTCATTATTAGACATGTTATAAATCTTTTAAAAGCACAAATGTTAGTCTATGACTGATTTGCTTTTTAAATATTTTGATAGATGTACTTTAATATGAATGATTTTTTTTGTAATCCTATGTATACAATTTTATTCATTTAAAAAATATGCTGAGAAGGCATCCTTGAACTTCATCAGACTGCAGAGGGGTTCAAGGCACAAGAGGGGTTAAGAGAATCTATAATAATGTTCTCTTTACAGCTATAAGTGGATGGGGAAATGCAGATAATAATCATTAAGCAATATGTGCCAGATTTTAAAATTCAAAATTCTAAGAGGTATATATTATTATTATTTTGTTAGTTTTTATTAGAATTTTGAAATTCTTATGTTATTTCAATGGGATATTTGGAGAGAAAAGACATGAACTGATGTGCTTAATCAGTCCTCTCAACGCAAAGGCCAGCTTTCTTTTGTGAAAATAGTATGTGTACATCATAAGCGAGTAAGAGAAGTGCAATAAGGACAGCAAAAATCACCCTTAACTTCCCTACTTGTTTGGTAAACATCATTCCAGACAGCAATCTATGTATATAGACATAAATATACATATGCACATATAACTTATATAAAGATACCTGTACATGGGGACTTCAAAGAGTTTGGGGGAAAGTGAAATTAAAGATAAAAATAGAAAACCTAAACTTAAAATAACAAAAAATCAAATAAAACAAATAAAAAAACAAAAAAGATTAAAAAATAAAAAATAATAAACTTTATTTCTCAACATAAGCACCGTCAAGTTCAAAACACTTTTGTAAGTGATGATACTAGCTATTTAGTCCATCCCTAAAAAACTGAGGCCTAGAGATTTAGCCATGTCAATGCCATCTTTTTTACATTATTAACTAAAGAAAACTGAGTGTCCTTTAAATATATTTTGAGATTAGAAAACAAAAAAGCCATCAGAAGAAGCCAAATCAGAACTGTAAGGTGGATGCCTAATGATTTCCTGTTGAAACTCTTGCAAAATTGACCTTGTTTGATGAGAGGAATGAACAGGAACATTGTCATGGTGGAGAAGGACTCCGGTGAAGCTTCCTGGGCTTTTTTTCTGCTAAAGCTTTGGCTAACTTTCTCAAAACACTCTCACAGTAGGTGGATGTTATTATCCTTTGGCTCTCCAGAAAGTCAGCAAGTAAAATGAGCATACCCTCAAAAACTGTTGCCATGATCTTTGCTCTTGACCAGTCTGCTTTTGCTTTGACTGAACCACTTCTATCTCTTGGTAGCCATTGCTTTGATTGTGCTTTGTCTTTAGGATTGTATTGGTAACTGTTTCATCCCTGTTACAGTTCTTTGGAGAAATGCTTCAGGATCTTGGTCTTACTTGTTTGCAATTTCCATTGAAAGCTCTGCTCTTGTCTGTCTGCAGCTTATCTGGGTGCAACACTTTTGGCACCCATCAAGTAGAAAGTTAAATTTAATTCTTCAGTCAAAAAAGGAGTAAAATAAATGGACAGAAATTGTCCCTGAGGAAGTCCAGGCATTGGACTTACTATCCAAAGACTTTACATCAGCTGTGTTTGATATGCTCGAAGCACTAAAGGAAATCTTGGACAAAGAACTGAAGGGAATTAGGAAAACAATGTATAGAACTACATAGACAGTCTGGAGATGAGAAGTATAACTAAAATAAAAAATCTATTTGCTGGGCCTCACCCAGTTTAATTACATCAAAATCTTTGGAGGTGGTACTCCAACATCAGTATTTTCCAAAGCTCTGTCAAGGTTGAAAACCTCTGTCCCAGGGATTCTGTTTTAGGAGGTCCAGGGCTGTGAATATCAACCACAGAGGCACATTAGCATCACCTCGAGAGCCTTAAAAATGCTGTTGTTCAGACCTCTCTCCAGACCAATTAAATGAGAATCTTTGAGGGTAGGCACTGGGTATTGGTGTTTCAATCAAGTTACAATTTTTTTTTTTTGACATGGTCTGGCTCTATTACCCAGGCTGAGGTGCAGTGGCATGATCTTGGCTCACTGCAGCCTCTGCCTCCTGGGCTCTACCCATTTTCCCACCTCAGCCTCCTGAGTAGCTGGGACTACAAGCATATACCACCATGCCTGGCTAATTTTTTGTAGAGATGGGGTTTCACCATGTTGCCCAAGCTGGTCTTGAACTCCTGAGCTCAAGCCGTCTGCCTGCCTTGACCTTCCTAAGTGCTGGGATTACAGGCATGAGCCACTGTGCCTGGGGCCTTCCCTTACAATTTTGATGACCAGCCAAGGCTGGAAACTTTGGAGATTCTCTTGCTGTCCTTCATATCTCCAAAAGCCTTTTTTCAACACAAATGCCAAGATCCCCAATATCTACATTAGGTATTGGGGATCTTGGCATTTGTACATATTAATGTACATTAATAACATTTGCTTATTTTAAAGTCCATTGATGAGACTATTGAGATTGGATTAAGTTATTATTGATTTCAGACTAAAAAATTATGAAGTGCCTCCTGGGTGCCAGACCCTGGGAATGCAGCAATGTACAAAAAAGACGCAGCCGCTCCTCTCATGAAGGATTTGTTCTAGCACAAACATTTACATAATTATGACAAGCAGTAAGAGAAGAGACAAGAGAATGGGGGTATTGGGGCATGAGAGCTGCTATTTTGGATAGGATGGTCAGGCTGTCCCTGAGTAGCTGACATTTGCGAAGAGGTCTGAAGGAAATCAGAGTAATCCAGTACTGTGGGACACCTAGGGGAAGAGCTGTTGATTTTCACAAAAGTATTTGAAATGCTCTTGGTTTAAGGATGACACTCTCGCTCTCACAGTAGCCAGTTTCTTTCATTTTGGGTACCTCTTTCTCTTGCTGTTCTTTTTTTTTTGAGACAAGGTCTTGCTCTGTTGCCCACGCTAGTGCAGTGGTGTGATTATAGTTCACTGCAGCCTTGACCTCTCAGGCTCAAGTAATCCTCCGCCGTCAGCCTCCCAAGTAGTGGGACTACAAGTGCACACCACCACGCCTGGGTATTTAAAAAAATTTTTTGCAGAGACATGGTCTACCTATGTTGCTCAGGCTGGTCTCGAACTCTAGAGTCCAAGTGATCCTCCCATCTTCACCTTCCACAGAGCTGGGATTACAGGTGTGAGCCACTGTGCCCAGCTTTGGGTACATCTCTTATCTGTGTCCAACTAACTTGGTTCCCCTGCTTTCCACTATCTATGTGAACTTTGGGGAAGCCACATCATCCCTAAGAGTCTTAATGTCTTCAACTATAAATTGCACGTAGCAGTCCTAACCACACTTACCTCACAGTAGGGTTGCTAAGAAGGGAAAATGAGCTAGGGAAATGTAGTGCAGTGATTAACAATGTGAGTGCTGGAGTCAGCCTGCATTCAAAGTCTGGCTCTACCATTTTCTAGCTATATAACCTGTGGCAAATTATTTAGCCTCTCTGGGTCTTTGGCTTGTGTGGTAGGCACAATCATGACTTCCCAAAAATGTCCATGTCCTAAAACCAAACCTGTGAATATGTTTGGTTACATGGCAAGAGGGAATTGAGGCTGCAGATGGAATTAAGACTGCTAATCTGCCAGGTGTGGTGACTCACGCCTGTAATCCCAGTACTTTGGGAGATCGAGGCGGGAGGATCGCATGAGCCCAGAAGTTCAAAACCAGCCTGGGCAACATGAAGAAACCCCATCCCTACCAAAAATACAAAAAAAAGGAGCTAGGCATGGTGGTGCCCACTTGTAGTCCCAGCTACTTGGGAGGCTGAGGTAGGAAGCTCACTTGAATCCTATAGGTGGAGGTTACAGGGAGCCAAGATCACGCCATTGCACTCCAGCCTGGGTGACAGAGCCAGACCATGTCTCAAAAAACAAAAACAAAAAAACCCCTCCTAATTGCCTGACCTTAAGGCAGGGAGAGTATTCTGTGTTACTCTCTGAGTAGACCCAGTATAATCACAAAGGTCTTTAAAAGTGGAAGAGGGAGGCAGGAGAGGAAATTCAGAGAGAAGAAGATGTGACTACAGAAGAACGGCTGTAGTGATAAGAAAGACTTGATCATTGTTGCTGGGTAGATGAACAAGGTCACTAGCCAAGGAATGAAGGTGGTCCCGGGAAGGAATGCAGCCCAAGATGCTGGTATGGACTGATAACCTGCAGAACTCTAAGATGGTACATTTGCACTGTTTAAGCCACAAAGTTTGTGATGATTTATTACAGCAGCAATAGGAAACTAACATGGCTTGTCAATTGAAAATGGACAAAATGTTGGTATTGGTAATAGCTGTTGTGAAACCTCAGTTCTTATCTTCTTAGTTTAAAATAATTTAACCAACCAGGCACAATGGCTTATGCCTGTAATCCCAGTACTTTGGGAAGCTGAGGCAGGTGGATCACGTGAGGTCAGGAGTTCGAGACCAGCCTGGCCAACATGGTGAAACCCTATCTCTACGAAAATAGAAAAATTAGCCAGGCATGGTGACCTGAAATGCCAGCTACTTGGGAGGCTGAGGCAGGAGAATTGCTTTAACCCAGGAGGCAGAGGTTGCAGTGAGCCAAGATCACGCCACTGTACTCCAGCCTGGGTGACAGAGTGAGACTTTGTCTCAAAAAATATTAATAATAAAATAAACTAATTTAACGCATTTCCCATTGGCCCTGAGAATACTCGTGAGGCTGCAGCATTTACTCTGAGATAACTCTCGGGTAGACATCATTCTACAGCATTCTCTTTTTAGTAGTGGTATTTCCATTTACAAAATATAGTGATTCTCAATCACTGAAAATGTCAAATCCTAGAAAACATAGCATTCCTATGCGTGATGTTAATTCTCTGGTGAATTTATGGCACCAAAATGGTATGACAAGGAGGTGACAATGTTTTCAACCTTCCATAACAATACTGTGATTGAAGTAGACCACAGAAATGGAAATAAAATGAAGAGGCCATGTGTCATTGTGGAATATAAAGAGAATATGGGAGCAGTGGACTCGGTTGATCAGATGCTCTCTTCTTATCCAACTAAGTGCAAAAGGCACAAGGTTTGCTATAAGAAATTCTTTTGCCACCTTCTAAACATGGCAGTGCTGAACTCCTACATCCTGCTCAAGAAGGACAATCCTGAGCACATGATGAGCCATGTAAATTTCAGACTGACACTGCTTGAAAGAACGCTGGAAAAGTGCCACAAGCCATGGCGGTAACGTCTTCGAGGTTGTCCATGCTCTGATGATGTCACATCTCTTCACCTGTCTGGAAGTCTGTGCTCTGATGATGTCACACCTCTTCACCTGTCTGGAAGACATTTCCCCAAGAGCATACCACCCGCATCAGGGAAACAGAATCCCACTGGTAGCTGGAAAGTTTGCCGCTCACACAAGGACGGCAAGAAGATCTGAAGAGAAAGGCGACACTTTTGTGTGGAATGTGATGTTCCGCTTTGTGTTGTTCCATGCTTTGCAGTTTATCACATGAAAAAAATTAAATGCTGATCATCATATACACTTCTGTTACATTAGGATTAAAGACAAGTTTTGTTTCGAAATAACTGCACGCGGTGGCTCACGCCTGTAATCTCAGCACTTTAAGAGGCTGAGGCAGGTGGATCACTGGAGGCCAGGAGTTGGAAACCAGACTGGCCAACACGGTGAAACCCCATCTCTACTAAAAGTACAAAATTAGCTAGGTGTGGTGGTGGGCACCTGTAATCCCAGCTACTTGGGAGGCTGAAGCAGGAGAATTGCTTGAACCCTGGAGGCAGAGGTTGCAGTGAGCCGAGATCACACCACTGCATTCCAGCCTGGGCGACAGAGCAAGACCTTGTCTCAAAAATAAATAAATAAATAACTCCAAGAACAGTTTTTTTATTTTATTTTCACTTTGAAAATCTGTCAGATTTGCTTCAGCTTCAAAGAACATGATAATGTAAAGTTAAAAGTGCACTGGCAGCGAGCTGCACTTTTTTTCTCTAAGTAACAAATGGGTTAAACAAGAGACACACAGCAAAGGAGATGCAGCACAGAGCAATTTATGGCAAAGGAGAAAGAATATTTGAAAGCTAGGTGCAGAATAGATAGTCCACCCTGAGGGACAATTCAGAGCAGGAAACTCCCTTTATGGGAGTCTTACCTGGTTATTCGTAAGGCGATGGGAAGAGGTGTTACTAGCAAGGATGCTCTGGGTCGTCCTCTGGGTGAACATGTGCCGTAGCACATGCTTGTTCATACACTGCATGTCTCAGTAGCATCTTAAATCTCCACCCAGGGGTGTGTTTTTTACTATTATAATGAGCAAAGCTCAATCTGAGGGCAGGTAAAATCAAAATGCACGTGCTCTCCATAAGAGAAATCCCCTACTGGAGGTAGCTTTGCTTGAATGTGCTTGACTACAGTGCAAATGCTAGGGCTTATTGTATTGTCAGTCACAGTCACAGCCATGGTTGCTGTGGCCTGAGGACATGTTACTTCCTTGCCTACCTATCCTGCCCCAGTATGTGCTTCATAGAGTCCAGAGAGTCATATGAATTCATAGCAATTCCAGGTGCATATAAGTTGTTGTGGTAGATACAATCATGGTCTACCAAAGACGTCCACCTCCTAATCTCCAGAACCTGTGACTTACATTGCAAAAGGGACCTAGTAGTGTGATTAAATTAAGGATTTTGAGATGGGGGCATTATCCTGGTGGATTCAATATAATTGAAAATGAAAGAGGGAGGCAGGAGGGTTAGAATCTGAGAAGGAGATGTGACAATGAAAGCAGAGGCGAGGGTGTTTATGTGTGGCGGGGAGAGATTGATTTGAACGTGCTACACTGCCAGCTTTGAAGACAAAAGAAGGGGCCACAAGCCAAGGAATGCAGGTGGCCCGTAGAATCTGAAAACAGCAAGGGAACGATCTCACTAAACACAGCCCTGCTGACTGTGACCTCCAGAACTGAAAGAGAATAAATTTATGTTTTAGGCTGGGTGTGGTGGCTCACTTTTGTAATCCCGACACTTTCAGAGGTGAAGGCAGTAGGATGGCTTGAGCCCAGGAGTTCAAGACCAGCCTGGGAAACATAAAGACCCTATCTCTCAAAAATATTTTTGTATTAGCTAGACATGGCAGTGCGTGCCTATACTCCTAGCTACTCAGGAGACTGAGGCAGGAGGCTCACTTGAGCCTGAGAGGTCGAGGCTGCAGTGAGCTATGATCATGCCACTGCACTCCAGCCTGGGCAACAGAGACTCTGTCTCTAAAAAAAAAAAGATGTGTTTTTAAGCCACTAAGTTTGTGGCATTTTGTTATAGCAGCCACAGGAAACTAACATAGTGTTCCATAAATGTTAACTATTGCCATTAGGTA